AGTGAGCGGCTGTGTGGTATTTGGCTGCCTGCCAGGTTAAACCACACTGTATGAAATGGTAGCAGAAGAACCATCTCTTTTCTGGTTCTTAAAGTAGTCTTCAAATCCAGCTGAATTTTGGCAAATACAATCTGCCTGCATGTCTTGAGTTTAAGGGGCAAGGTTTTGGTAGTGGGGCGTGGGGGGCTGCAGGGGTGGCCAGCAGAGGCCAGGGGGTGGCCGGGGGCGCGGCGGTTTTTTCGGACGCAGCCGGTTCCAGCCAGCTCCAGTGGACCCGCCCCAGGACACAGCTGCGCCCTTCAGCCACACTGGTGGTGCCTCTGGGAGAGCATATTTAAGAAAGGGCAGAGGAGGAGGGAACAAAAGGTGTGAGAAACAGCCCTGCGAACACCAAGGTCAGGAAAGAAGGAAGGGGAGAAGGTGCTCCAGTCACCGGAGCAGAGATTTCCCTGGAGCAGAGATTCCCCTGCAGCCCATGGAAGGTTTGGAAGAGACCATGGTGGAGCAGGTATTTCCCTGCACCCCGTGGAAGAGATTACGATATACAAGCAGCAATTTCCCTGCAGTCTGTGGACAGGACTAGGTCAGAGGAGGTGGATATTGCCTGAAGGAACCGCAGCCTGTGGAGAGCCCATGCTGGTACAGGTTCTCCTGACAGGAACTGTAGCGTGTGGAGAGGACCCACGCTGGAGCAGGGACAAGCGTGAGGAGGAAGGAGCGGCAGAGAGGAACTGTTATGAACTGACCACTACCCCCATTCCCCATTCCCCATTCCCCTGCACCGCTCGGGACAGGAAGGGAGAGGTAGAAGAGTTGGGAATTAAGTTGAGCTTGGGGAAAAGGTGGTGGGGGGTTGTTTTAGTTTTTCTCTGTTTCTCACCATCCAACTCTATTTTAATTGTCAATAAATAAATTAATTTTTCCCAAGTCAAGTCTGTTTTGCAGCTGGGTGGGTGTCTGGCTACCCACCAAGGTCATTCCATTACACCGCATGAGCTATCTTCCACATACAAATAAAATTCGTTACAGTTATTTCCTTCCTGTTCCATACTTCATGGTACTTGCAATGAAGCATAATCATTCCTGCAGCATAGAACAAGGCAGTAAATTAAATACCAGTCAAATGAACTATAGCATCAGGAGAATTGTTGAGCCTGACATCACTAGCAGAGAAATAAATTTGAAATTGCACACATTATCAGTTTCTTCCCAGGGCTGTATGAAGGGGAATATAATGAAAAATAATGGAAACGTTAACAGATAACATATAAACTGTTCTGGTGAAGGAACAACCTGTTAGCATCATCACTGGACAGAAAATTGTAAGAAGTCAATCAACCAAACTAAATATAAAGCCCTAAAACCTCTGAAGATATTCCCACTAGTATTATTGACGAGAATCTACATAAAACTAGATGACTACCTATTGAGACTGTAACATTTTGGGTCATTCTGTATGGATCCCCTAATAACCTGAAGTATACAGGTACCACAAATACAGTCTCTAGTAACAAAGAACCACCTTGGGAGAAAACAGTCAAGGTGGGAGGGGCACCAGAGCTTGTAGCAAGATCTCAGAAATTAATATTTAGTGTAACAAACTTCTTCATCAGTGCGATCCAGCACTGGTTTCTTCTAGCTCTTGCTATCAATAATGAAGCCACTGCTACAATCTGCCTAGATCTACTTGATGCCAAAACATCAACACCACCAAATGTGAATTGTAAACTGCCTCACCAAATGCTCTGCTCAGATCTGAAGACAGAAGCATGTCACTAGTCACTTTATGTGAGGCATCTTCTGCCCACCTTCAAATGAGCAAGCTGATGAAGTGAAAAAGTCCATTTCAAACCAAGTGACTTTCCTGAACTCTGTGTTTGCTCTGAAGCTTCATGTATCCACACACTACTGGGGTGATAAAATTAGTGATCTTGCCTAGAACTGTCCCCTTTCACTGCAAAGGAAGCACTTGGAGGAGGAAAAGTTTGAAGCAGAATCTCTCTGGATATCTGTGTTATTTCTGAAAAGAAGCAACTTACAGTTACTTATAATATAAGCTTTCCTGAGGGAGTGAGGGCACCTGTTGTTCACTTGGGCCAAAACAAAGTCTTGAATCAGTACTTGGGTACTGTTCTATCCACTGTGGTGCAAGTGGCAGCTTACATATTCCAACAACATCAAATGTATCTGTGTATTTGTTAAAGCCAGTGGACTAAAGATATAATAATTATCTTAAAGGAATAAAAATTGCATAATGTATAGAGACACTAAGTGCAAGCTTTTCTTCTTGGAGCAACAGTCAGCAATAATCAACTAGGGTGTAGCTATAGTTGTTTTACCCTTTGCATCTAGAGCCACAAGGCAGGAATGACTTGGGAGGAACACATTTGCCATCCAAGAATACAGGTTTGTTTGCGCAAGTGGAAGCTTAACACATATGCACAACCAACTTAATAATCACCGTAGACGTCCTTCAAAGAAATGTTAGCAAAACAGGTATCAGAAAATAAATGGAAGTATTATAAATACGTGTCTGTTATCTTGCTCTATGACTCTCAAAGGAATACAATAACAAAATTATAGTTCCTCATTTTTCACTTCCTATTTTTCTTTTTTTTTTCCTCTTGATTATTCTCCCTTCTACTTTCACAAAGAAAAGGTGGCATTTTAATTTCTTGATGTTCCTCCCTTTTATTCTTCCTCCCTGCTGTCTCTTCCCTGCACTGCTCTCCTTTGCTATGTCTTCCTCTCCTCTCCCAGAAAAGGCCAAGTGGCTGAATACTTCCCAACAGACCTTCAATTAAATTGCTCCTTCCAGGTTAGATTCATAGAAAGATTAAGTCCCTAACTTGCAAGTATTAAAGTCCTAAAGGTTGCTAGCTCCTTCTCCTCAAGAATTGTCCCCACTCCCCCTCAGCAGCCACCTAACCATGGAAATACTTGTCGGTCCCCACAGCACATACTGCCTGCTGTCAGACATTTGCAGCACTCAACATGCAGGCAGTCAAGCTCAAGCATAATGCCTTCCTGTAAATGCATGTAAGTCCCCATCAACAATTATGCCCATGGGCCCAAGTCATTAAGCATGTTAAAAAAAACCAAACCCAAAACGTTTAATAGACTGATCCCTTGCAAAATACAGACAGGATGATAGTGGTGCAATCCCTTTACACCACAAAGTTCAACAGCTGGAACAAAACTGAGGAGTTTTCTTCGAAGTCTTTACTGTCTGTAACTATTTTGATGAGTAAATGTTCAGAAAGGTAAGAAAGAAAGATATTTTAAATGAGTATAATTTTACAAACTGGACCTCTTACTTGCTAATCCAAGGTCACTGCCTTCTTGATCTTCTAATTCTCTATCTATGGATGCGACGTTCACTTCATTAAAATGCAAATCTAAAGCAGAACCTGTTAAACAAAACATTGTATCAATGAATTATCCTTGAATTATCCATAAAACTATCATGACGGCTGAAATGAGGAACTTTATTTGACTATTTTTATAAGTGCTTCCATCATAGAACTCTTTCGCATCTAGGTCATGATCTTAAGCATACTACAGACACACAGTGAAAGATATCCTCTGTATTTTCTAAAAGGGAAAACTTTCATATATAAGCTATTACAGCTTTTTAAGCTGGTAAGATGAGCAGAGGATAATGGAGACGTGGCTATCTATCTGGATTTTCAATAAATCTGTTGTGCTTAGATGTACGTCAACAGAAAAAGAGGAAAAATAAAATTTTGATACCTATGTAAATATATTTTTTATTATTATTGAATAGAAACAGGTATTATACCTGAGGAAAGGCACTGTAAATGCCCTTTACAACAATAAACCCTTGGGGCAACTGAGGTATATATCAGGGCATACAGAAATAAGGAATGTCAGAATATTCAAATGAAAATGTGCAATATTTTAAAATAAATAAAGTAAAAATCAAAATCAGTATTTCATTTAGACTGAACAGTTAGACTGCCTTTCATTTTAAGACTTAGATCGGTCTAAAACTTCTCAGGGCAATGTCATGAAAAAGTTCTTATCAAGATACTTCTTATTAGGTCCACTGCTTACGAAGTGTTAGAAGTTGGATATTTTTTCCCTTTTTCCTCTTAACTTCTTTTCTGCGCAGAAAGGGGTGTAATTAAGGAATTTATCCTTCTGTACGTATACTTTAACTAATGTTGAACAACTGCACAGTCAGGAAGACAGGAGAGAAGTCTGCATAAATACTGATTTTACAGATAGGAAAGTGACTATCCCAGTCACTGTGGTCAGTGACAGTGATAACCTTTGTAAAGAATTTTTAGATTTTATGTTGAAAATCATTATTAAAAACTGGCACAAAGTCTAAATGAGTTGAAAAGGAATAAACAGAAGTAAAAGACATACTGGCTTGTGCAAAAGAGCCAAAAAAAAGAGGCTCGCAGAAGTCTCACAGTCACTA